GTGTGTGTGTGTGTGTGTGTGTGTGTGTGTGTGTGTGTGTGTGTGTGTGTGTGTGTGTGTGTGTGTGTGTGTGTGTGTGTGTGTGTGTGACCACTGCCCCCTGCTGGATGGAGCACATCAGAACAGCATGTGTACTTAGGTGCATGTGTGTGTGTCTACATGCATGCATCTCAGTGCACACTGCAGCCAGTCCTGCTGGCTCGGATATGGCAGAAAGTGTGTACAAGTGTGTGCACGCATGTATGTGTGAAACACTTGGAAGGGTGTAAGACAGAGACAGAGAGGCTACTGCCTCCTGCTGGCTGGAGCATGTCAGACCAGCGTGTGGATGGAGGGGAGACCAGACATCGCTGCTCCCCTCTGTCTACAGCACCGGTTCTCAACCTTTTTTGTACCAGGACCCATTTGTAAACATCGGTGGCCAGTCCCAGTCCAGTGCCCCTCACTCCCAACCCACTGACCACTGCCCCCAGGCCCCAGCCTCCCAACGTGTAGAGCAGGGGGTGGGTGTGTGGTGTGGGGTGGGGTGGGAGACGTGGGGGGACCCCAAGCAGCCCCTTGCAGTCTGGAACTCTTGACGGCCTGCAAGGGAAAAGGCACAGTTTCCCATGTTTTTCTCCGTTAAAGGATAATTCATTTTTAGTTTGTTGATCAATTTTTCAAGTTTGTTCGTGACCCTTTCATATATTCTTGCAACCCATTTTTGGGTTGCAATGCACAGGTTGAGAAATGCCGGTCTACGGCCCATCAGAGCAGTGTGCATGTGTGTCTGTGTGTGTATGTATGTGTGTATATACATTTGCTTATCTATGTGCATGCTGCTGCCCCCTGCTGGTTGGGATACAGCAGAATGTGTGTGCAGATACGTGTGTGTGTGTGTGTGTGTGTGTGTGTGTAATGCCTGGGGGAGGGTGTGGGGGGGGTTGTTGGTTGTAGCCATGTTATTGTAAAGACATAGGCAGACAACGTTCTTTGGGTAACTGTAATATCTTTTATTAGACCAACTAAATAGTTGGAAAAATTGTTCTTTGCAAGCTTCCAGGCACAAAACCCCTTTGTCAGGCATAGGGAAGCTTGCAAAAAACAATTTTCCCAACTATTTAGTTGGTCAAATAAAAGATATCACATCTACCCAAAGAACGTTGCCTGCTTGGGTTCTTTGTGCGTATATATATGTGTACATGCATGCATCTACATGCACACTGTGGCCCCCTGCTAGCTGAGATATGGCAGAACATGTGTGCACATGGGTACATGTGTGGGTGTGTGAGAAAGAGAGACTGTACACCCTACTGGCTGGGATATGGCAGAATATGTGTGCATGTATGTGTGTGCATGTGCTTTGGACACCTGGGGGGTGTGTGTGTGTGTGTGTGTGTGTGTGTGTGTGTGTGTGTGTGTGTGTGGGAGAGAGAGAGAGAGAGAGAGAGAGAGAGAGAGAGAGAGAGACTGCTGCCCTCTGCTGGCTGCAGCACATCAGAGCAGTGCATGTAGGTGTGTGCATATGTGCACTGCCCCCTCCTTGCTGGACCATGTCAGGGCAGAGCTGTCCTGGCCCTAAGCTTCCCGCAACATCTCCCCAGTGCTACCCAGCAGGTCCAAGCTATGGGGGAGGGGGAGTCTGGGGGTCACTCACTGTCTTGACGGGTCCTGATTGGGGTGGCTCTGGGACCTGCGGGGGGGAAGAGAGGGTCAGAGCAGCCTCATGGGGGGGCACATGTGTGTGAGCACCCGTGTGCATGGATGAACACACCCTGCTGCCCCCCACCTACTGGCACACTCAGTGGCACATGTGGGGACACCCCTCAGGACACACTCAGAAACACCCCTCCCCCTGCTGACCAGTGTGTGTTCCAGCTGCTCCAGGGTGCACACATGTACATACACATGTGCACACACACATGTACATAGGCACATATATACACACGTACACACACATATACACACACTGCTCTGGCAGGCTCCAGCCAGCAAGGGGCAGCAGTGTTGCACACATGTATGCATGCACGCACACGCACGCTGCCCCGGGCCAGTGGGTTCCAGCCATAGGGGAGGGTCTGGGGAGGGCTGGGGATAACTCACCATCTCGGGGGGGCCTGGTTGGGGTGGCTGTGGGGCCTGTAGGGAGAAGAGAGGGTCAGAGCAGCTGCATGGGGTGGGTGGGAGCTGGTGCACATGTGCGTGCACCATGGCCTGGGGAGGGGCAGACTGCATTTGCATTCACATGTGTCTGCACATGGCACCACCCCCTGGCATGTGCACACGCATATGTGCACCTACCCCACTGCCTCCTGCTGGCTCACAGCAGGCTCTTCCAGGCCCCCATGACCTGGTGCCTGTGCACACATGTATGCACATGCCTCGGCCCTCAGCTAGCCAGATGCACATACATGCTGGGCACGTGTACCTGCTGGCAGGTGCATGGACATGCACTAGCCTGGCAGTGCCAGAACTGCTGTGTGCCATGTCCTCCCCCTAGGCCCAGCAGGGGGGGAAGGTGGGGAGGAGGTCACTCACCGTCATGGGGAGGCTGGGCTGGAGCTGGAGCTGGAGCTAGAGTTGGAGCTGAGGCTGGGGCTGGGGCTGGGGCCAGGGCAGCTGCTGGGGGGAGAAACAGTCAGAGGGTCACAGGGGAGGAAGCAGGTGTTGGCTGCCTCATCCCTCACCTCCCCACCGCCATGCCGCCTGTCCCCTCCTTTCCAGCCAGCCATGAAATCACCATGATCTATGACCCACAACCCCACCATGACATCACCCTGTCCCCAATGCCACCCCAACCATGACATTATCCCATCCCCCATGACACCCCAGCTGTGACATCATCATGCTCCGCCATCCCCACCATGTCATTACCTTGTCCCCTCATGGCCTCCTGCCATGACATCACTCTGTCCCCATGGCCCCCCACCATAGCATCACCATGCCCACCTACCCCCTTTACCATGACATCACCCTGCTTCCAATGCCACCCAGCCATGACATCACTGTACCCTGTGGTACCTGCTGCCCTTTGTCCCTTGCGTCGGGGGACTCCTGCCTTGCCCTTGGGCCCGGGGGGTTTTGGGGGCGGGCGCCGAGTCCCCTCCTCCATGCCCGCGTTCTCATAGTCATCATCGTCATTGCTGGGCACAGGGGGAAGTTCTGGGGGGAGAGCGCAACTTGGAGACCCCCTTGATCCTCCTGGGGGGTCTGTCCTCAGAGACCCCATCACCCCCCTCCTTCAGGCACCCCTTTCCAACCCACTCCAACTGCCAGATCACAACTGCCCATGACCAAGTGGACCCCAGAGAAGAGGGGAGCTGCAGGAGGGTCATGTAAGATCCCAGGGATACCCCCCAGCTCTCTCCTGGGACACCAGAAGCAGGGGAAGACCTCAGCTTTGAACACAAAGTGGGGCCCTGAAGTGTACAGGATGCGGTTGGCTCTGGGGTGGGGCATCAGGAACTACGTAAAAGAGGGCCCCTTGCCCAGTACTGAGATGCAGCTGGCTCTGGGGTGGGGGAAGAGACAGGTATAACAGGGATTCAGCTGACTCTGGGGTGAGGCAGCAGGGCCGGGGTATAACATGGACCTGTTGCGCGGTGTTAGGATGTGGATGCTCACTTTGAGGGAAAGTGCATCCTGCTTCCACTACAGCACAGCAGCTTGGAGTAAAAATGGAAGCATCTGATTTTCAGCAGGGAAAGGTGTGAGCTGGAGTTTGGTGAGGACACCTGGGTTCATGCCCTGTCTGTTGCGGGGAGGTGCCTTTCACAGCCTCAAGGGGACAACCCCCACAGTGCCCCCAAGTGCCGCTGTGGGGCATCAAGCCAGTCCTGCCAACCCCATGGGAGGTTTCCCATCCCAGAACTGACCAGGCCCAACCCTGCTTGGCTAGTAAGCTCTGCTGGCTCCCCTTGCCATTCCACACCACACCCTTCTTCCTGTGTCCCAGCCACCTGCCCCACACCCCTGCCCCTACCTTTGTGTGGCCCCTTCCGGCCCATGAGCCGTGACTTGCCCATCCAGTTCCCATATAGGCTCTCATGCGCCATGATGGGCTCAGTCAGGCACAGGGAACCTGCTCAGCCCTGCTGCCTCCTGACTGCCTGTTGGTGAAGGGAGTACTAATCCCCCCTTCCTTTCCCCAATGCTGTCATGGCTCCCCCCTGCCCTCCCCCAGCCTAGAGCAGAAGTGAAACCCGGATGTCAGTGTCATCAGAAACCCCATGAATGCAGTTACCTCTGGGGTGGGGCACAGGTGCTCAGTGGAATCACTGTTACCCCTCCAAGGACCCAGACTGCTGTCCATGACCTCATTGGGGGGGGCGCTCAGGCCTGAGTGACAGGAGAGGTTATGGGGGGCTGCTCATTGCATCCAGGCCCCACCTAGATGGTCCCTGGGGTCCAGCCTGGGTGCAGGGTAGCTCCTTGCTGGCCCCAGTCCAGACCCAAGTCCCCAGGGGTTCAGGGAAGGTTTTGTTCTTGGCTCCACCCCAGGCTTAAAATAGCCCCCAGCAGCTGCAGCAGGGGAGGAAACGTTTGCAGCAACTCATGCGTATCAAACACGGGCCCTCACATCACTGTGTCCCAGGGGACAGGGGGTGGCAGAACAAGGCTCACCAGGCTTGTCACACCCCACTCTGCAGGGCTGCAAGGCACGGCTGTGGGGGGACAGGGACAGGCCTTGGGGCAGTAGCAGGGGGGCACCAGGGGGCTGCAATCACTTGGGGGAGCAGGCCACAAAATGGGGAGGATTGGGATTCCCCCATGCATAAGAGCAGCAGCTGCTTCTGGCCATGATGCAAGGAGCCTGAACCAAAGCTCCCCTGGGATGTCCTGGAGGCTGAGGCATTTTCCCAGGCAGCCTGGGCAGAGGCCTCGAGGCTCCAGGGAGCTAACATGAGGGCTGGCAGATCCAGCCCAGGCCTGGTGGGGGACCTGGATTCTTCCCCCACTTGCCTCCCAGTGGGGTGATGGCTGTGCTGTAGCTACAGGGTTTGGCACCCGGGCCAAAGCTGGCAGCAGCAGCCTGCCCTCACCCCGCACACAGGTCGCGGGGCACACGCGCCCCCATGCTTTCCCGGGAGTGCATGCAGCGGCGGGAGCCACCCGCGCCCCGCAAATGAGCCACTTGCAGCTGCATCCTGCGCCTGCCTAGGCTGGGCAGCGCCTGTTGCCACTCCTTCCCTTCAGCGCCCAAGACGGTCACCCTGCTCACCCCCCTCTTCCTACAGCACTGGATTATGGGGGGGGGTCCCCCCAAGGGCTAGGGTCCCCGCGCGCAGAAAGGCCTCGCCCAGGGCTGGCTGCAACTCCCAGGCGTCACCCCGCCCCCACACTACACGTGAGAACCCGGAAGTCCTCCCACCCCCCTAGGCTCCGCCCTTCATTTCTATGGTCCGGGAAGGAAGGAGCGCAGGCCCCATCCCGCATACGCACTCTAGAAGAGAACCCGGAAGCCCTCCCGCCCTTCTAGACTTCACACCCGCTCATCTCTATGGCGCAACACCTCCCTTCCGCTTCCGGTCTGGATCTGCAGCGGAAGTGCGGCCGTGGGAAGCGTTTCCGGGACAACGGGCGCCCACGGTGACCCAGGCGGCGGCGGCGATGGGGGCGCACCTGGTGCGGCGCTACCTGGGCGACGCGGAGGTAGAGCCCGACCCTCTGCGCATGCCCACCTTCGACCCGCTCTACGGCCTGCCCGAGCGCCGCGAGCGCGGTGAGACCCCGCGCGCCCCCTGCCCCTTGCCCTCTGAGCCCCGGGGAGTGGGGCCGGTGCGGTCCCGGGGGCGCCCGGCCGCAGCGTCACCCCCCGCCCCGCTCCACAGTGATGGTGGCGACGCAGGAGCAGATGGACGCGGCGCGGCTGCCGCTGGAGCAGCGCGACTACTGCGCGCACCACCTGCTGCGGCTCATGAAGTGCAGGCGCGACTACTTCCCCAACCCGCTCGCCTGCCGGGCCGAGCGCCACGACTGGGACTACTGCGAGCACCTCGAGTAGGTGCCCGGGCCCCTTCTCCCCTCCCCGGTGATTTCTGGGGCTGGAAGCGGTCCCAGGCGGGGGCATCTGGTAAAGATGGGGTTGGCGGGAGGGAAGACATCTCTGAGGAGGGGAGCTGCGAGCTCTGCCCCGTGGGGATGGGCGGTGGAGGCGGCTCGCCGGGGCTGAGTGGGTTGCAGGGTGCCCTGGGCTGTATTGTTGGGGGGGTGGGGCTGTGAGCTGCTGCCCACCTGTCTCGATGCCCCCTAAGCAGAGTGGGGGTGGAGAAGTGGGAGGGGGGCTCTCCCATGGAGAGGGCCTCTGGGCCTGCAGGAGGAGCCCAGGTCCTCATCAACCTGTTCTTGAGGAAGCCTCTCATGTTGATGGTGAAAGCCTGTCTGGCAGCAGCTGTGAAGGTGTTAATGCCCATCCCCCTGCTGCCATTATACCTGCCCCCATTGCCAGTGGGGCATCCAGCACCCAGATGTGCTCCCCCCAGCAGGCACCTGGCTGCTCCCCTCCCCTTGCCTGGTTGGGGTGGGCTGAAGGGGGTGGGTATCAGGTCTCCCTTGACTGTGGTCTTCCCCCAGCTACGTGATGCGCATGAAGGAGTTTGAGCGTGAGCGCCGCCTGCTGGCCCGGAGGAAGCGGCTCCAGAAGAAGGCAGAAAAGGAGGCCATGGCTGCATAGGCCCCCCACAATGTCTATTGTATTTAATGGAATAAACATCTGCTTCCCTGCCTTGGTTCCCGATGCCTGTGGGGTGGGTGGATGTTGCTGCTGCTGGGGTGAGTCCTCCACTGTCAGGGATAGGACACCTGGGGGGTGATTCTGTACTGGGCTGAGGCTGCCCCTGCTTTCCCTGCCCTCTTTCCTGTGCGGGGCTCCCTCACTGTTTCTTCCCTCCCCAACAAGGACCAGCTGCCCCCCTTCTGTGCTGGGTGGGGCTGAGCCAGTGGTAGAGTCCCCCTCCCACCTCATGCCAGGGCTGGTGGTGCCAGACCCCGCCTAAGAGAGCCCATAAGTGCCTGACCTGCCTGCCTTCCCCCCCACCCCCCATGCAGTCACAGTAGAAACACAGACAGGGCACCAGAGTCATTGGCTCATTTATTCCCCTGGGTCTGGCCAGTGGCCCCCCTGCCCCTGCTCCCACTTACAGGTGGCTGCAGCTAAGACTGACCAGGGGCACAGGCCAGATGTATGGAGGGGGATACATGGGACACACTGACCTCAGCACTGCCTGGGCCCAGGGTCAGAGACAAGGCCAGAGCCGACAACACAGGGCAGGAACTTCCCCTTCTCCAAGGCTGACATCACACTGTGGCTGCTGCCTTGTGGGGGGGGGGGCAGCATTAGCCCATCTGCTCCCCAACCCCAGCAGTCACCCCTGGGGGGAAAGGCAGGCCCCAGCAAGGAAGGGAAGCACTGCTGTACTTAAGATGAATGGGGCTGCCTGAGACTCTTCTCTCCCTCACAAGCTCCCCACTTGGTGTAGTGGTGCCCTTGGGACTCTCTGCTTTATCTGCAAGCCCCTCACCAGCCCCAGAAGGCACTGGGGAAGGGCTGAGCTAGTTCTGGGGCTCCCCCAGCACAAGGTGGGTAGGGGTCTCCCAGGGGCTTTCCAGTGTGGAGGATGCCAGGCAGCCAGCAGGGGCACTGCACACCCCAGGGGTGACAACTCCCCCCAGCCTGGCTGGAGCTGAGGGATCTGGGATCCAGGTCCAGGGCAGGTGCCTCCCATCAGTCCCAGGGTGTTTACCCGCCCCCAGCATAGGACAGGAGGGGCAGGGGCTCTGGTCTGGAGAAGATGGGGGACAGCTGCAGGGACCTAGGTGGAGGCAGGGGGGCGTTGGCAGCAGCTCAGAGCAGGAAGGGGACGATGGGCGAGCGCAGGGCAGGGTAGTCGCGGAACTCCTTCAGATAGCTGCGATGCTTCCCCTTGGCCCAGATTGTCATCTGCACAAAGCCCACCAGCGAGAACAGTGCCACTGCGGTGGTGGGGGAGATGTCAGGGGTGTGGCAGCATCCCCCTTCCCCACCGTGGGGGGGGGGGTTCTGGCCCTGGTTTTCTCCACCCAGCCCTGGATACAGCAGGTGAAGCATACTACAGCCCCAGGATGCTGCAGGCCCCTCACATCCTGTCTACCTCAGTTTCTCCTTGTGAGGTGCTAGGAGCTACATGCAGCGGGGAGGGAGGTAGGAAGGACAGCCCCTGGCCAGTGGTGTTAGCTGACAATTGCTTCTCCCCCACCCCCACACACACACTGGGGAAAGCATGCCTCAGTTTTATCTTGTGAGATGCTTGGAGCCCCATTGGAGAAGGGGACCTGGCCCTGGTGGCCACCCACAGCATGCTGGGTGAGTCACTGCAGCGCCAGAGCCCTGCCCTCTCCCCACATACCCCAGCTCACCTGGGAGACACTGTGTCATGATGGTGAAGCCAATCCAGGAGCCGACCTGGGGATGCAGGGCCTGTGAGAGGGCAGCCACACCAGGAGGGGTCCTCCTGCCCCCACTCCCAACCCTGGGGTGCCCCTCACTCACAACCCACAGCCCCCTGCCTCCCCAAGGAGCCCTGCATCCCTCTGACAGAGCAGGGAACCTGACTTCTCCCTGCAGCTCTCCCCCCACTCCCACTTACTGTTGCTGGTTGGCAGTGGGGGTGGATCTCACCTCATAGGTGTAATTGGGGCAGGACACAAGCAGGAAGAGCCAGGTGAAGGGGTTCTTGGTTGGGTATGGGATCTTCCGTGTCTTGGAGCCTGGTGGGGGGCAGAGCATAGCTGGGTCACAATGCCAGCCTCAATCCCTCTCCTGTCCACATCCCCACACCCCCATCTCAGCCCTCTCGTCCTGACCTGGGTGTGGGGAGGCATTTGCTCCCAGCCGGCTCCACTCCCTGGGACCTCAGGCCCAGAGGAACTTTCTGGGGAGGTAGCTTAGCCAGGCTAGGACCCCCTGGGCTTGCTCTTGGGTTTGCCCCCCAGGGCTTGGAGGTAGGGCGGTTCTTTGTGGGCTCCTATGCAAGGGCGGGGGGAGGCAGTGGCACTGGCCAGGAAGGGCTGGATGGGGTTGCACCTGGGCTTGGCTCCCTCAACTCCCAGGGGGATGAGGCCTCAGACCACAGGCCCCCTCCCCCCGCAATACAGCCCCAGACCTGGTAGGATCTCTTCCCCTTCCCCCAACGAAGCCCTGGCTTGAGCACACAAGCATGCATATACACACGTGTACATGCATACACACTCACCAGCTGGCCGCAGGTTACGCAGGGCAATATGGATGGAGAAGTTCCCCAACTGGCAGAACTGTGGCAGGAAGCAGACCAGGGATCAGGTGGGAGGGGCAGCCCCCCAAACCACCTGGTCGTCCCCCCCCCCCAATCAAGGCTCCTAGCAGACTAGGGGGGCAGTGCCATTCCAGCCCCTGGCAGCTGAGTCCAGCCACTCCCAATCACAGCCCTGTGCCACCTCCCCCTGCCCCCAGGTCTGACCCTCCACCCTGGCACTCTCCCCCTGCAGCCCCCTCAAGGGGTACTCTCAACCTCCCCCCAAACCCCCAACCCTTATCTCTACTCCACCCCCAGTTCTTACCAGGAAGATGATGAGTGCCAGTTTCACCTGATCCTCTCCATAGGCTACAGGGGGGAGGCAGAGATCAAAGGTTAGAGAGGTCAGCCAGGCAGAGGACATGCTGTCCAGGCCTGGGTACATGGAGTGGCACCTCTGCGCCCAAGCAACTTGGGGGCAACAAGGCAATGGCCCCTCTCCCTACCCAAATTCTCCCCCACCCCTGGGGAGCATGAGGGGGCTATGGGAGCCCAACAAGGTGCAGCCAGGGGCAGGGGGGACCCTGGAAGGATGCCCCAGCCCCCTATGTGGTTAAGGACCTTCCCCAGGCCTGAACCAGGCATGAGCTAAGCTCAACTGGGGGGCAAGGACCTGGGATGGCTCTGGCATGGGGAATCCCCTTGGCTACAGCACCTCCAGGCCCCCACGGCTCTCTTGTGGGGCTGGGAGCCTTGTGTAGTGCATTATGGGATACCACAGCCTGAGGTGGGGTACTCACCAGGCGGGGTGTAGAGAGGGTGGTTGATGTAATAGGCCATCCAGGCAGCAAAGCCCCAGTAGTAAGTGCAGTTCTAGAGGCAGACAGATGAGGTGCTGGGTGAGGGCAGTGCCAGCCATGGGGAACCCAGGGGTCTGAGAGCGCCCCCCACCTAACCTTTGCCCCCACCCGCTTCTCACCTTGAAGATATTGCGCAGGGGCATGGTGCCATGGGAGAAGCGGTGCACAAACAGTGTCTCCAGCAGGCGCTTCACATAGTGGAACGAGTGGCAGATGCAGGCCAGGCTGGGGGGGAAGGGGAGGGGCGGGGCATTAGGAAATCATGGGTGGGGCAGGACAGACCAGCC